CATAAGTTACAGCATTGCATGGTGGCCATGTGAAGCCATCGCAGTTTGTGGATGGTGCAGAGGAAAATGCAGATGCTTCAGAACACTCTTCATGAACACAGCCTCTAGCTTCTGTCCAGTGGCTTACCACCATCGGGGGATGGTTTTGGACATTCCATACTCTGTCAGAGCCTGTAAAATCCAGTGCTCAGACTGGTAAGTGTGTCTTCAAAGGTGGCAACTTTACACCTTTCCGCACTGAGATGAAAAGCTGCCCTATGGTACTCTTCAGGTTGTATCGGAGAATTTCCATTTGGAAACCCTTATGGAAATAAATCTACCACTAAGGCATACAGGAAAAAGCATTCTTTTAATCTCTTTGACCTATTCTCTGTGCAACAGGATGAGCCTTGAGACATGGGTGAGAAGCCTGAAACCTGAAAAAGGTCAAAATTATCTCCAATTCATCTGACAAAAATAACGATCCTTTCCACTGATTTGTTTCACTGATGCAAGGTGAATCAGATTTGTGGTGTTTTCACAGAGTTTGTGGGTTTGTTTTGAATTTATTTTTCAATACTGCTGGTGTTTTCCATGTGTGATAGAGCAGACTGGAGGGGCAATGTTTTGTTCACTGGCGACCTGATCAGTTTCACAGCGCAATGGCGACCTGATCAGTTTCACTGCATCTTTCAGTGCAGTTTATTACACTGTGGTCCTATGAAATGGTTTGACATGCTTTCAACTAGTTAAATAACAATTTGATGGGATGTGAAAACCACAGGAGTCAGGAAGAAGGTAATAGTCTGTGAGCGGGCCTTATCTGTCTTGCTACACTGACACTTAAGGTTTCAAGGGGAACTAAATACAATATATTTAGGAACTTAATGCAAGAAGTGACCTGGGCTTGGCTTCATATGGAAGTAGAGATTTCTGGTCTGGTTGCGAATGAGCATGTTAGACTAGTGTTTGTCGCTTTGGTACTTTTCAGAATGTGGAAGAAACCACAAAGAATCCTTCACTAAAGGGGGAAATGATGTGTCTGAATGGGGAGCCTTAGGTCTCTGAAAAGAAAAAAAAATCTACCTCCTCTGTTTTGTACGGCAAATGATTTCAGAATTAAAGTTACTTCAGGCTGACAAGAGTAGCCAACAGCTGTAACTGGAGACAGTAATTTTTGCACAAACTCAGGACTGCAGTGGGTATCCATTAGGATAGTCACGGCATGGAACTTTGTAGAAATGTCTCGTGCAGAATAGTGATTAGATTTATTCTCTAAGCAGCCACATTTTACAGTAGCTAGATCAATTAGCTATGCACATGCTGTGGTTGGTTTTCATTTTGTTTCTTTCAAAAGGTACAGCAACACTTGTATGGTGACTGTAATTTGAGTAGTGCTACTTATTCAGAATAATCTTTTCACTATCATCTAATGAAAAATCTTTATTCTCTGATGCAAAAATGCATTTTAAATAAATAATAATCTTTCAACTATGAGCTCCCGGTAGAATATCATATATTAATGAAATTATAAATAGCAAGTGCCAGCTCTATGCCAGTTTTAACAGTACAGAAAAGAACACATTATGAAGGAAAATGCACCAGGTTTTTGTCACCCAGTTTTGTTGTTCATAAAGCAAGTGCTTGTGAGAAAGATAATTTGGATTTCATAGTTCTTTAACTTAAACACAACTTTCATTTAAGCCTCTACTATTTTTTCATCACACACCCAGGAAAGTATATGCAGACACACATCCATGGTGGCAAAAGATGTATGGCTGACCTATTTTCATGTCTTGCTGTGGTGACTGTGTATCAAATACTGTAAAATTTTTGCATATGCAATTCTGAAAGCATCATCCATAGTTCCTCTTTAAAATGAGCCCGTTACTAAACAACTACTTTATCTGAAAACAACAGTCGAAAGACAAGAACGCTTCACTTTTCTGAAAAATTTTAGTCAACTAAGGAGGAATTGATATGCATGCCACTTTGCTAACATGAACCTTAAGACCATGAAAAGCTTTATGAAAGACTACACCAAACAAAGTTTAGATTGAAGCATAGAAGACATCTAAATACACTTGCATCTTATTTTCAAATTTTAGTTAAAAATAAACTGCGTAACTTTTTATATATGTTTAGAAACATCCCATTTTGCTCTGACTTGCACGGAAGCACAGGTCTAAGACTTTTATATAGAATTAAAATTGTCTTGACTTGTGCTGCATTTTTGAAGTGATTTAATTTTGTTTTGAAGTATCTCCTCAGTGTGTGCACTGAGTTTACTAGCACTGTCCTGACCTTGGAGATGGTGTGATATTTTATGGTGTGCAGTGACATTTATGCGCCCAACTTGGCTCCAATAAATAGGTTAATTTCCACAAATTAAATGCCAGGTTTGAAACATTACAAGGTGATTTAATAATTCTGTATCAGCCTTTTGGATTCACAGTGGGGCAGCTGACTGGGCAGTCCTTTGTCTACTGCAAATCCACAACTGCTAAACAATTTTTTCAAGTATAAAGGGTCAAACTAAAAGTGTTGGGAAAAGAAATAGTCAGGTTTATAGTTTCACATATTGTTGAACACCAAAACCTCACATACATGGATCAATTAACAACTGACAGATTTATGTTAGGGGAATTAGTTCAAATTTTAGAGAATACTCCTTACACATCCCAAATTAGGCTGTATCAAAGTATCTCCTGAAGTAAAGGTACCTTAAAGGATGGAATGTATAATAAACCTTACTGTTAGTACAGAGTTAATATTCAGACATTGGGAATAAGATTCAGTAATGTCCAACTGTAGATGCTGGACAGAGAGTTTATTTTGGTTTTCAAAATCAAACTGTGACTTATATGGATTTGGATTTCACTTCATACAAACATCTACTGGATATTAGGTGCCAGCTTTGGTTCTTTAATACAACATTTTTTTAAAAACAGTGGTCTTGAAGCTCCCCTTTCATTTTGCCTGATTTCATATAATTTTGTTGCTGCTGAATTACATACTAATCTTTACTATACATGTTTATATAAATCAGACAAGAATAAGAGAATGTACACGTGACCTTAAAACAAACTGAAGAACCGTGTGATTAAAATAGAGATGCAAACCTAGCAATGACAAGAAAGGACACTGATTTAAAATATTGCTCTTACAATTATCTTGCTTGTTCAAAGAACAGTTTACACATATTATATTTAGTAGCTAAACTACAGTTTAGCTTATATTTCCAGAGTCTGTTTCCAAGTTATTTTTTATTCTGTTTTTTAAGTAATGTGTCTGAAGTTACTTCTGCTATGTATTCTCATTCTTGGGTAATCTTTCCAAAGGATATGAGTCACTTCTCTGCTATTTGTAAAGAATATGGAAAAAGTAAAATATTATTATTTTGTGGGCATTTGGAACTCGATGTAAAAAAAATAGATGGGATGTTCATCATTGTGAGTCATTTCTTGGGAAGAAGGAAAGAACAAACACTAGCTGCTGACCTACTGCTATGAAAGCCAAAGACTTACTGCTGACTCAAGAAGTAGATATTGATAGCTGCAGCAAACAAAGGAGATCATGCAGCAGGATTAAAGAGGAAGTCTTTCGTCTTTAAGTAATAAGGAGTATAAGGAGCTGCCTGTGTTGATTTCTTAGAGGCTGTTATTTGTTTAAACAATCTTCCAGTTTAAACATGTTAGCCAACTAGAACTATATCCTGCAGATAGCTGCTACAGCTAAGTGAGTCTCCTTCTGAGTTTCCAAAATGCCTGGCAAATCTTCAGGTAGGTAATGAAGTGCAAGACTGAACTCCATAGTGCTGAGGTAGCTACACCAGCAACTCCCGGTGCAATCCCCTACTGTTTCTGAGTCTTTCACCCTGAGTCCTGGGTAGTATAAATATTGGTATAAAGAAAATTGAAGCAACATAAACACTTCGTAACACATTTGCATTCCGATCAACTAATTGAAAAAACCCTTTTGATACCAAAACTGATTTTCAAAAGTGACTTCATTTTGCTAAATGGCCTTTGTATGCTTTATTTATACCAATCAAGCAGCTGCACTGGAAACTACTCAATTACTTACGTGTGTAACTACACAAACTACCTGTAAGGCACACACAACACAAAAGAAAATGCATTTAATAATTATGACTTAACTATATGTATCATTTGCCTGTTTTGTTCAAGCTGCAGTGGATACACTATGATGAAGCCTGATAATTATCTTTTCTGCAGGTGTTCTTGTTTGTTGTGTTGTGGTTTTTTAATGTTTTTTAATTCTTTCCGAATGTAAGGATGCATTTTCATAGCAGCTTGAGCCAATTTAAGTCATACTTGCTACTCTTCTCTGTCTCCTCTCATCCCCTTTCTATACAAAAGAGATGTTTTTGTGCTAGCATAGGCATTTGAGCAACTCAGTAGTGAGCCAGTTCAGAGTGCTGATTGAAAACTAATTCTAAGCACAGATTCCAATACTAGCAAGTGATGAATTTGGAACAAGCAGCAGGGTAGGATTGTCAGGAACATGGCAGTCTGTATTTATGTTTGAAAAAGCTGCTGTGAAACTGAGTCTGAATGGAGGCTTTCATGGAGAAACAATTATGAAAATGTGCTCTGTCATTACAAAACAAGGTTTTTAAAGACTTCCGATAAAAATTTCAAAATCATAGTCTTACTAAATGCTAAGAAAAGTAGTACCTGCTCTGTGATCCTTGTATGAGTTTATTCGCTGTTACCTCTAAGTAAACCTGAAGCAGTGTTAACAGTTTGAATGCCATAGATTTCAAAAAATCAGTTACAAGTAAAATGCTACATTAAAATGTTCGCACTTTACCAAATTGATTGTGGATGTTTACATAAATCATTTTTAAATCAGAAGTGTTTAACAGTCCAGCAGTCCACTATAGAATGTTGACTGAGGAGTGCTAATGGATCTATGTGACTAACTGTTACTTCCTGATGTCAGTCAGAGGGCTCACATGGCCACTTCAAATCCTTGAAAAAGGTACCTTTGCAGCTTTGGATTTGAACACGTTCAAGTTCCAGCCCTGGAACAGCTGATCTCCACCCAATAAATCCCTGAGTAGTCTTAGGTACTGGAGGAGATGGAATCACCTAGAATAAAAGTAACATGTAGAATTTGATGATTAAAAAGGTTTTGACTGTAATTTCTGTCATGCAACATCCTCTTTTGTGCTGTAGTGTATGGATTACATACAGTGGAAATGAGAACTTATAAAAAATACTGGTTTTAAACGCAACCTGATGAATTAATATCCTGATCACACACTGACATTAATGGAAAGAAACAAGAACTTCAAAAGATAGCCCAGTTGCATGCAAATTTGATTTATAATACAGGATAGTTTGTAATTTTAAAAGTCATTAGAATAATTTAGGTCCTGTTCTATAGCAATAACTAACTTTCATTCACCACCCTTCTAAAAGTCTTCTAGTGCCTAAATTGGTATGTATAACAGGAAATTAGAAAGCAAAGTTATTGTTTAGTAGCGTATGTTAGCATACTTTCTTTTTTTTTCATTTTTTCTTAATACCTTTCTAAGGGATTTACTGGCTTTACATTATTAGGAGAATGATTTTATCTTCAGCTTTAGCTTTGCTCCTTACCGAATAATAATAATAATAATCTTTAAAATTAGTGAACTTCTCTAAAAAGGAGAAATAGCATTTTATACTTGCTGTAATGTATTTGGTAGCAATGCAGCTACAGAATAATAGTTCTGTGGCCAATTGCTAAAGATATTATTGACCAAGCTGGCTTTTGCATCAAGAACTACTTATTTGTTCCACCTTCTTTCTGCTTTAAAAGATGGGTAAGCATCAAGTTAATCTGCAACTAATCTAGCTAAAAAGGAAACAAAACAAAAGCCAACAGCCTCTGTTCGCTGACTGCTGTGCTTACTTTGGCTGTATCATCTCAATTGGGCACGTTATATCATTTTAGCATCTGGGGACTTAGCAGAGAAACACACAGCAAGAGAACAATGTTTCAGTTCTCTTGCCAGAGTTGCTTCACTTTGTTCTTTGGCCAAGATTAGAAAAGGTTTATGATATTTAGGTGGGGCAGTTCCTCTGAAAAGATAATTTTTATGGCCAAAAGTGCCACCCACTGAGCAGGATAATGAAGGAAATCATGTACCACTTATGATCTGGGGGAAGGGACTATGAAGAAGCAATTATTAATCTAACTTAGAGAGAAGAACAGATAGGATGGCTGTTACCGTGAAGGTAAATGTGCAGAAAGACACATAGTTTTGAACAAGGACTTCAGAAACTTCACTCTGAATATGTAAAGGGTGACCTAAATCACAGCTAATCTGTATCTTCCTTAGCAAATAAAAATTCTGAGGTGAAATTGAAACTATGATCCCTGTTTCAGTATGCACCAGGCTACGAATGCTACTGTAGCAGCTGGTAACTGCGATTTGTTAACACACATACACCCTCACTATGCTGAAACAGAGGTAAACTTCAGTGAAATTGGAGGCTTGAGACAAAACTGAAGAACAAGTAGCACTAATGGCAGAAATGCTGCCATTTCATTTCTCTGCCACACTCGGCACTAGCTCTTAATTTTTGTTTCAATTTAATCTCAGTAAAAGCTTTTACTGCTTCCTCACCTACCTCCCCACCATTGGAATCCTTTGAAAGAAAGCTAGTTCAGCAAGTAGGAATTTCCAGTCTCTTTTGTTTCCTTAATCTTCTCCAAGTGGACTAACCTTCCTTTTTGCTAGCATGTTCTGCTTCTCCTTTTATGCATATGTTCCCTTTCCAGTGTCACTGATTTAGCTGCCTGTAGTATAGTTATCCTATTCTTTGGTGATTCTGATACTGTATATTTATAAATCAACCATCAGTCACATTCCGCTCTGATTTCCAGCTGTTTGACAACTTTTAGATTCTGAATATGTGAATATAAATCATATAATATAAACCGAAATAGTTATGAATTGGCTTATTAGAACTGGCTTCTTACTAATTTGTGCCACTAAAGAGGACAGTGGCATTGTCTCTGCCAAAAAGAAGATGGTCTTAAAAAAGCTAGAAAAATGACTGCATCTTAACCAATAGTTAAGACTGAGAGTTAAGGTTATGATAAGCCTTGAAGTAAGACATGTGTATGTATATTTGAGCAATGAATGGTCAGCAGTCAAAAAAGGCTCTGTGAGCACTCTTCTGTACTAAGCTGTACAGTTGGCTGTTCTGTTACTAGATGTCACAGAGGAGTGCATGGGGGAGGTGCTTTACAGAAAGATGATTATGTACAGTGAAAGCTCTGTGAACTAACAACCACATCCAAAGGGCAATTCCTTGTCTTAAATGAATGCTTTTAAAGCATTGCTCAGGTTGCAAATACAATTTACTTTGACCTTTAGTTAAAGGCCCACCTCTACAAGACAACTGATTTTTAGAGCTTGTGTGGTTTCTTAAGACAGATACTGCTGTATTGCAATTTTAAAATCTAATTTTCTAACCTTAATGTATTTTTCCACAGGTGTCACAGGTCGAACCTGCAGATGTTCTGGAAGCTGTATCTTGGGCTTTGCGTTTTCTGTCTTTTCATCTTCAATCAACTAAAACCAAAATATCAACATTAAAAATTGGAATCTATCTTTTGAAATATGCTGTAATACCTGATACCTACACCATTCCCCTCATTGCATCTGAACTCCCTGTTCTTTCCATCTAAAACAGGACTACTTATTGTAGTGCTTTGGAAATTATTGTAATGTATTTTTTTGTTTCAGAAAGTGATGTCATTCTGAATTTCAGACAAAAGGCTAAATATTGCTGAGTGATTCCAACTCTCTTAACTACATCACTGGTCCAAAAAGGGCTAGAAATAGATCTTATATGTATCTCTTATGTGACCACAAAACAAAGATTAATAAATGCTAAATACACATGTTCACCAGTAGTAACAATGCATAGTTTGTCTCAGCTGTAGATCTGTTCGTAATGTGCAAAGGTGGCATGCATGAGAGACCATAGTTATTGAGGATGGATGTTGAAGCCTAGAGGACCAAAGTTTCCAAAGGTGCTAACTTGGATGCCTACAGGAATTTTCAATAAATCCTAGAACAGATGAAGTACTTCTAGCCCCATGGAAACTACATTTATAACTATTCAGTGGCAGTCCTGTTCTTTAGCAATGAAATAGTTTGATTCCAAAGGTAACATTATGTGCTACTATATTCTAATATCTAAACATCACTGAGAATAGACATCTCTCAAAATATTTTCGTTTGTTGTAAATTCCCCCACTGAAAATTTATTTAGCTAGAACCTTTTCCCATAGATTTTTAAACTACCATATGGATAGACAAAGGGGAAATATTTTCCTGTCAGTGTGCATCTAGTACTTGTTAAGACTACTGGGAGTCATGTTTCTCAAGATGCATATATCAGAAGATGCATAGCATGTAAATTACCACTTGCCGTATTTTATTCAGAGAACTGAAACTTTGAACCCATCTTAAAAGTAATGAACTTCCTATGTTAGAACCTAGCTTACTAAAGCATACTCAGTACTTTTCTAGTCTTCTGTGCCCTCATGATTTTGTGTCCAGATAAATTTGTGTACAAGTAAATTTCGTGTGTTGCATTATACGCCATTCAACTTTACCTCCTCAAGAGGTGTTTTCAGGAATCCCCATTTGTGAGACCATCTTCTTGCAGCTTCTTGTTCACGTTCAATGTATTTCTTCCTGAAACAAACAGAGAAATATTTAAGACGACTTTGAAAGCTTTCATAAAAAAAAAAATAACAAGCATTTCCTTGCAAATTACATTTGTGTTAGGAATTGGAGGTCAAATTTTCTAGGACACATCTTTTGAAAAACTTGAAAAGTAAGCACCAATGTCCTTTCATACACACTTTCATTTGCTATTGACTGATGCAACGACCCTTTGTCCCCCGCTCTGTCCCAGCCCTGCTCCCCACTCCTGGCACCCAGTGGGAGGATGGAAGGAAGCACCAGGCCACACAGGCAGGGCGGGAAAATGGAGGGAAGCAGCGGAGCACACGGGCAGCGTGTGCTGCTTCAGCTCGGGTACCAGCACGGGACTAGGCAACGGGAGGGTACCGAAACCTCGGGCTTTTTGCAGATGGCAGGCCTCCGAATGAGCACGCGTCCTTCGCAAACACACACGAGGCAAACACACGGACAAGTCCCCTCAGCCTCCGCCCGCCCGAGAGTGGGCGCTGAGCGCGAGGCTGCCTTGGGCGGGAGGGGAGGGAGGCGGCGGCAGAGCAGCGCCGGAGGAGGCCCGGGGCCGTTACCAGCAGTCGTCCTGCGCTACGAAGTTGCAGAGCCGCGGCCGGTCGGTG